TAGTCCCAAACGAAGCTAAAGCAGGTTCACCCGCTATGTCTCCAAGCAACACCCAGCAGTGGTGATTCATTCCTGAACGAGTCGGTAGTGTTTTAAATGAATCGGTGGAGTGAGTGATTCAATGTCACTTGCCACCACCTACTGGCATAACAATATCACTACAGAAAGCCACTGGAAAACACAACGCTGCCAAAGAGTGATGCACTTAGTAGTGGTTGCAATAGATTGCACTTTAGGTATTCATCATTCATTCATATATTGTCTACAGTGGTTATGGCCCTGCATTATTGTAATAATGAAAAAACAAACAAAAAAACTTCTAAATTGGTCTGTTGGCTCCAATCTAGCTATCAAAAGAGACATTTTGATTAGTGCCGAGGGAAAATCCCATTAAAATCACAATGTTATCTCTAGCAATTACCCAGAAAGAATGAAGGTGAAAGAGAAAGAGAAAGAGAAAGGAAGAATCCTCAAGCCTACATGACAACAGAACAAACACAATTCAATCGATGCAGCTAAAAAAAAACTAAGCTATACAAACACACAGAGAGAGAAAAAAAAGCTAGAAAGATTGATGATATACACTTGAACTGAGACTTCTTGTGTGATTATATCCTCAGAATTCAGATTCCACCCCAGACCGCACTTACCTGATTTTTTAAGGCACAAATACAAAATGAGACAACGTTTGTGTAACTTCGTCTGTTCATGTCCACGTGGCCTTGTGTTGATGTTAAAGAGCGTGCTGCCATCTGGTGGTAGTTCTCTGGTGTTACAGACACCTGTTATTCACAGAGCAATACTGTCACTGATAATATATCATTTAACAAACTACAATTATAATATAATTCATGTTATTTTGCAAATTGCATAGCATTGTTTTATGATTGTTCAATAATTCCTTTGATCCCCACAGTGATCCCCACCTGATTCATATACACAAATGATTTAAAAATTACATTTATTGCATAAGGGTCTATTTAGTCAAAGGAATGTAGGTTTTTGTAGGATTTTTTCCACTGGCTTTTGGATTATTGCAAAAAAAAAATAATAAAAATGCCGTTCATCAATAGGCTATAATCTTCACAAATGAAGACAACTTTGTATGCATTTTGAACAATCTGCAGAAGAAAAAAAAAAGAAAGATCAATTGATCAGTTTGGTCAAACCGGTTCACAAAGATCAATGATTGCCAACTTTGCCAAGGTTGGAGCAAAACTCTGAAGGTCTGAGGAGGTCCAAAGAGGTCCAAATGATTCACTTCATGAATCAGCAATCTGCATCTGAATCTGAATCTTCAGAAGCACACCAAATAAACCTCCAACAGGCTATTTACACAGAACAAGTCTTTTCTTATGTTTATGCTCCTAAGTTTAGCTGGGTATTACCAGTTTCTCCAGTACATATTACTTCATGCCAACAATGCGCTTTACATTAATAAAAGACAATTATGTAGCATCATTAAGAACAAACATGATCTAATACTAAAGAAAAGTATATTTATAAATTAACATTAAGATTAAGTCTATGAGTAATTTGCTCTAAATAGAGTCCAGCAACGATGGTCAGCTGTGCCATTATTTATCAAATCTACCTGTAGGCCTACCTACTGTTTTTGATACTCAAGTAGTTTTAATATCAGTTAGTTTAATACAATTACCTACATATTTAATAATAATAATAATAATAATTGGCAATTAACTTTACCTGAGACATCCATAAAGGCATCTTTCACTTTTGACTTTTACTTAAATATGACAATTTTACAATATCAATTGTAAAATATGAGGGTGATATTTATGATTTATGATATTTAATGTCCCTGGCAACAGTTCAGTCCACTTGTAGCAACCTCCTTTTTCAAGATGCATAAAAGCTTAATAAAACTAAATATAGACAGCCTATGCTTTTCGATGTGCCTATAAAAACACAAATTAGAAACCTAATCAGCCATTATAAAACGGAGAGTTCCGGTCCTTGATTCTGATTGGCTGAGCTGCGTTAGGATCTGTTGTAAGGGTATTACCAGTTTCTCCAGCACATATTACTTCATGCCAACAATGCGCTTTACATTAATAAAAGACAATTATGTAGCATCATTAAGAACAAACATGATCTAATACTAAAGAAAAGTATATTTATAAATTAACATTAAGATTAAGCCTATGAGTAATTTGCTCTAAATAGAGTCCAGCAACGATGGTCAGCTGTGCCATTATTGATCAAATCTACCTGTAGGACTACCTACTGTTTTTGATACTCAAGTAGTTTTAATATCAGTTAGTTTAATACAATTACCTACATATTTAATAATAATAATAATTGGCAATTAACTTTACCTGAGACATCCATAAAGGCATCTTTCACTTTTGACTTTTACTTAAATATGACAATTTTACAATATCAATTGTAAAATATGAGGGTGATATTTATGATTTATGATATTTAATGTCCCTGGCAACAGTTCAGTCCACTTGTAGCAACCACCTTTTTCAAGATGCATAAAAGCTTAATAAAACTAAATATAGACAGCCTATGCTTTTCGATGTGCCTATAAAAACACAAATTAGAAACCTAATCAGCCATTATAAAACGGAGAGTTCCGGTCCTTGATTCTGATTGGCTGAGCTGCGTTAGGATCTGTTGTAAATTACACTACAAACATACACCAACTACTTTGTTGCAACCACAGCTGATTCTGAGGAACTACATTGTTTGGTGGAAGAATAATGCTTTTATTAATATCATTACACTTTATTTGCTCTTTTTTATTTTGTGAAACCTTACTACGTAAATGGAATACGTATATGGAAACTCAAATTCACTGTAAACCACGGCTTCTTGGGGCTTATTGCTTTAATATCTCATTGGAAGAGTAGACCACTAACATAAGTGTTGGCGCCTCCTTGTGGTTTGAGCTTTTAATTTCCAATTTGGACAGCCTTGGATATTTTCCCTTTCAAATATTTTAATATTTGTACATTACATATTAAAACTTAATTTTAACTACTGTATGTATGTGTTTCTTTATTTATGTGGGTATGTATGTAGAGTATAATAAATCATTTGGATGAGGAAAAACAACCAAAAACGTTTATGGCAATTGCTTCAGTATTGTTTAAAAACCATGACAAGGTATCTCCTGAAGTAAGGCCAGTTACTTTGAGGCAATGTTCGATTATGAAGAAGCTCAAATATAACATAGTTCTGCCCGTTCTATCTAGCCTACATAAATATATATTGACTTTCATTGGCCTTTAAAAACAAAAAAACACTTCACTTTTATAACTTTTCATTTAATCACTTTTATAAGTGCAGAGAGCACACTACTAATGTGTCTAATGTACAAGAAAAGAGGAAGAACAAATGAGACCATACATTTAATTGACCTGACATGAGTTTAATCACTGTTGAGAGTGAAGAGTCCTTCATCATTAGGCTGATTATATAACAGGTGAATAAATCATGTTTCACATTGTCATACGTCATAGTTCTCATAGATCATCTAGAGTGGAATCATCAGGAACTTGGCACATACAGAAATACAGTCACATGGCCTGTGCTGTGTAACACACACAGACCAATAGATGCTCACATACGTCACAGTTCACACAGTCTTACTGCTGACTTTAAAGCATTAAGATTATTGTAACATTAGTTTGTGTGTGTGTGTGCACATGATCATGTATAAGCATATATGCAGACAAGTGTGTGTGTGTGTGACTGGACAGAAGGGGATGGCTTCAGGTCAGACGATTTAAATTTCTTAACATAAAGGTTCAAGTTCTTTAAACTTAATATCAAATAAAATATAATAATTTGAAAAAAAAAAAAAAAAAAAAAATCTACAGAAACATGTTCAACAATGTACATTTTGGTTCTAAGGCAATAATTGTTCCTCCACAACACTAGTGCTGTCAATGCTGTGAGTATTTTGTCAGTGTTCTTTCTGTGTTGATGAGCACACATTATTTCAACGCTGCCTCTCCATTGCACCATCGCATTCACTGAATGGCTGGAGCATTGCCTCGTGGGACCTGTCGTGTTTTTGAGACACTGAATAGCACCGTAGGAATTCCCTTCAACAGCGACTTTGCTTTTTTCCAAGCAGGCAAAACTTGACATTGGGAATATAGCAACAGAGATCATTCCCTTGCTCTGTGAGTTTTTTCAGCTTCATTGGTACTGCTCACGGGTAAACGGAGAGTTCCGGTCCTTGATTCTGATTGGCTGAGCTGCGTTAGGATCTGTTGTAAATTACACTACAAACATACACCAACTACTTTGTTGCAACCACAGCTGATTCTGAGGAACTACATTGTTTGGTGGAAGAATAATGCTTTTATTAATATCATTACACTTTATTTGCTCTTTTTTATTTTGTGAAACCTTACTACGTAAATGGAATACGTATATGGAAACTCAAATTCACTGTAAACCACGGCTTCTTGGGGCTTATTGCTTTAATATCTCATTGGAAGAGTAGACCACTAACATAAGTGTTGGCGCCTCCTTGTGGTTTGAGTTTTTAATTTCCAATTTGGACAGCCTTGGATATTTTCCCTTTCAAATATTTTAATATTTGTACATTACATATTAAAACTTAATTTTAACTACTGTATGTATGTTTCTTTATTTATGTATGTGGGTATGTATGTAGAGTATAATAAATCATTTGGATGAGGAAAAACAACCAAAAACGTTTATGGCAATTGCTTCAGTATTGTTTAAAAACCATGACAAGGTATCTCCTGAAGTAAGGCCAGTTACTTTGAGGCAATGTTCGATTATGAAGAAGCTCAAATATAACATAGTTCTGCCCGTTCTATCTAGCCTACATAAATATATATTGACTTTCATTGGCCTTTAAAAACAAAAAAACACTTCACTTTTATAACTTTTCATTTAATCACTTTTATAAGTGCAGAGAGCACACTACTAATGTGTCTAATGTACAAGAAAAGAGGAAGAACAAATGAGACCATACATTTAATTGACCTGACATGAGTTTAATCACTGTTGAGAGTGAAGAGTCCTTCATCATTAGGCTGATTATATAACAGGTGAATAAATCATGTTTCACATTGTCATACGTCATAGTTCTCATAGATCATCTAGAGTGGAATCATCAGGAACTTGGCACATACAGAAATACAGTCACATGGCCTGTGCTGTGTAACACACACAGACCAATAGATGCTCACATACGTCACAGTTCACACAGTCTTACTGCTGACTTTAAAGCATTAAGATTATTGTAACATTAGTTTGTGTGTGTGTGTGCACATGATCATGTATAAGCATATATGCAGACAAGTGTGTGTGTGTGTGACTGGACAGAAGGGGATGGCTTCAGGTCAGACGATTTAAATTTCTTAACATAAAGGTTCAAGTTCTTTAAACTTAATATCAAATAAAATATAATAATTTGAAAAAAAAAAAAAAAAAAAAAATCTACAGAAACATGTTCAACAATGTACATTTTGGTTCTAAGGCAATAATTGTTCCTCCACAACACTAGTGCTGTCAATGCTGTGAGTATTTTGTCAGTGTTCTTTCTGTGTTGATGAGCACACATTATTTCAACGCTGCCTCTCCATTGCACCATCGCATTCACTGAATGGCTGGAGCATTGCCTCGTGGGACCTGTCGTGTTTTTGAGACACTGAATAGCACCGTAGGAATTCCCTTCAACAGCGACTTTGCTTTTTTCCAAGCAGGGAAAACTTGACATTGGGAATATAGCAACAGAGATCATTCCCTTGCTCTGTGAGTTTTTTCAGCTTCATTGGTACTGCTCACGGGTTCATTTCCATGATTGGAGAACACAGTTCCATAGTCTTTCTGTGTTAAGTGCATATAACGCGCACAGGGTTAAGGTGGTTGTAGTCAGTTGTCACAGCTATATCGGAAATCTTAAGCAAGGCTTTATAACATAATTCCCTGTTCACATCATGTTCATTGTTCACTTCTTCAGGAGGCGTTACTGGAAGAGTATATTCTATCAGTTCCCTCTCTCTCTCACACACACAAAACAATTAAAACAACTTTACATGGTTTCTGCAACTCATAAGAAGGCCCAGATGGAATCGGCAGACTTTTTCACATTTTAAGAAAAAAAATCTGCAGAATAAATTGCGTGAAATGGAACACTCTTATTGATAGCTGAAAGCATTATCAAATAATGCAAAGTGTGTACACGCAAGGCATGGGGCAACTTTGTAGAGTAAATGTAACAGCAATGCAGATTCCTTGAGGGTCTGCTCACGAATGAAGCACAAGACACTGGGTCTCATTCACTTAAAACTGCAGGGATTCTTTTGTATTTGTAAGCACAGGAACACTTCTCACGATTGTTTCCACCTAATTTATGTAAGCACATGAATTTGTTCTTAACTGAGTATTTTTAAATGAGTGTGGCAAGGTTATTTGCATAAAACACGTCAAATCTATCTCCATGCGAGGACATTCCACACAGCCTTTTCTTTGCAGTCTTTTGTCACCTAAAAGCATGTGCAGAAAGATCCTAGAGCAATGCCAAGTGTGCCATCCTCAAAACCAGTTCAAACTCAATCGACACCCAGCTGTACATACATGTATCTGCATTGTTATACAAAGAAACCTCTCAACTTGAACTATAATGCTGCTTTTCAAGGTATATGATGAAATATATTTAAGATTAAACATCTATTCATAACATTTCATCCTAACACGATTATAAGGCCACCCAGAGCATGTGATTTACGTACAATAAATCTTAGCATGAAAGTTATCGTTGAATCATGATGTTTGCGCAGATTTCACGCACAAATTCATGTGCATGCACGCTTTGTGAATAAGACCCACTGTCGTGTAGTTCTAACCACTTATGTCATCACAGCGTAAACAATGGGCTACATGTATGCAAGGAAGCTTATTGTTAAATAGGGCTACATATTTACTTTTGCACTTCTGAAAATGGGTTTTGCCATAAAGCTAACAGAATAATTGTAAAATTACAACCACATAAATTTTAAAACATTTGAATGAGTTCAGGCTGGTATTTGAAGGCCTCTCTCTCTCTCTCTCTCTCTCTCTCTCTCTCTCAAACACACACATCCACATACACACATAGTTTATTTGAGGTACAGTGTGGTGTGGCATCAGCAGCCAAACTGTCCATGCTGTCCAGAGCAAAATGCACACACACACAATAGCAGTTCCTTGTTGTCTTATTGTCATTGTGTCTTAGTTTCAGTGTGCAACTCTATATATAACTGGCTTATCTGAAGAACGGTGAGCCAACAAATCTTTTGTATATGAGTGTGTGTTTTTTTCCAGGGGTTGATTTACTACACTGGTCCAGTCAGAGAGCGCAGGATACCACTCCAGTGGGCGGAGCTATCCTACACATAAGAGCAGCTGATTGGTGTTTAGGGTCAATATGACAGCACTTCCGTAGTGGCTGAACATAAAGAGGCAAATCCAATGCAGGAAACATCACGGCAGGTTTTCTCATTGACATAAATCAATCTCAATAGTTCTCTGGAGTCTGTTTTTCTTTGTTGTAAAATTGTATCCCTGTACTTAGTCTCTCTGGAGTCTCTTTCACCTCTCGGGGAGATGTTACTTGTGTGTGTGTAGCGCCTCCTGAAACTTTGTGCTAGTGTAGCGGATATGGAAGCCTTTCTTACTGATTGTGTCATCAGAGTGGAAATGAATCAACACTGCATCGCTAGCAGAGTAAAGCTCCTCACGAGGCTAAACAGAGAGAGAGGGGTCAGTTGAAGACATATAGGAAGCTTTATGATATAAGAAAATCCTAAACTCATCAGTATCATACATGCACACACTGCTCATACCCCAGATCCACAAAAGCGTCCGAGTTTGTGCGCTCCAGTGTCGTAACCATCGTAAAGTTCGATGTAGTCGTACCCGCAGTCAGCCTCCTCCTCTACCTCAAAGGTGGTGAAGGTGAGCTCGATGCCATAACCCGACTCTGCCGTTATGAGCCACTCGCAGTCGGTGTGGCCGGGGTAGTTATTATCCCCAAACTGAGCATGAGAATACAGGTTCTTCTGCCGTGCTTCTGCTTTTAACCTACCGCCACATTCTACACACAAAGACACACATGTACTGTTGATCATCACTGATTTTCTAAAAATCTGTTGACCCTTCATCCTATTAGAAACAGTTCTGTTCACTTAAACTAATGTTACCAGTAGTATTAGCTGACAAATATATCTCTTCTCTTCTCAGTTGACTGTAATAAGCAACAATAACCAGGGTGGGTGGAGCTTAGCGACAAGTTAAATGAGAAAAGGCAAAACTTCAGGGACTCTAGTCAACATGCAATGCAGTAATGATCCACTAGAGGGGTCTGTTAAACTGTCAGCATGACATGAGAATTGCTTGTATGAACACTTGAATCACATCTGATCCAATACATGCAAATAATCAAAATCAGACACAGAAAAGACAGGGTAGTTACCAGTGGAATGAGTGGCCTGGAAGCCTTTCCTTTGCACTGAGGCGTCGGAGATGAAGCGCAGGTACATCTTGTTGCCTGTGGAAATGAGCGGTTCTGGAATCTTACTGCCACACAGACGGCTCATGATAGGCGTCTTGTCCGAGTCGCCGTCAAAGGCCTCTAGGTGATCATATGCGCATTCTTGGTGCTGCTCAATCTCGAACTCATTAAAAGACTAGAGATACAAAGACACAACAGAGAAAAAAAATTTAGGAGAAAAGAATTTTGCAGCATTCACTGACATTAATTCTAGGCAATCATCTGTAAGAAAAGGAGATCTCTCTTCTTTGACCTCCTCAGCTAGAAGTCGGACACATCTGACATATTTAAGGAGCAGATAAACATGTTTGGCTGTGACTGGGACAAGCCAATTTTCATTGCAGCGGCTATAGGAATTAAAATCTCAAGTTTCAGTTAAAAGAGACAATTACATTTTTATAGAGGCCTTGTTTGTTTCATGTACATTTGCAGAACTAAATGAAAAGCAGCTAAGTTTAAATAAATGCAATACAATACTAATACATTATTGAAATGATACACTACTGTTCAAAAGTTTAGGGTCATTCAATTTTTTTTAAATAAATTAATACTTTTATTCAGCAAGGATGCAAATAAAATGATTAAAAGTGAGAGAAAAGGCTTGTATTGTTACAAAAAAAATGGTTTGTTTGAACTTTCTATTCATCAAAGAATCTTGAAAAATGCATCACTGTTTCCACAAAAAATATAAAGCAGCACACATGCTCTTATCAAATTTGGAAAAATATTTAATAAACATGCAAGGGTCAGGACGTGTGAATTCTGCATACATCTATAGAGCTTTCTGTGGGAATAGGTTCCTTGTGGGACTAAACCGAAAATCGCTGCTTAAGGGCGTTGCCAAGATAGCCACTGAGTGAACTGGCTTGCCTTTACAAAACTTCAAACTGTGTTGTGTTGGAGCATCTGCAAATCCCTGAACCACTGCATGAGTTTGAATTACATGATTTAAAGTTGTACCTTTAGTGTTTACAACATTGTCATTATGTAAAAAGCCAGCTGTTACGGCTACACAGAGAGAGAACAATAAAAGCATGAGCATGATGATAAAGTTACTCTGCAAATGTATAATGAGAACTTCAAACGTTAATGCCAAAATGATATATTAATTCTAATGGAATCAATCCCCAAAACACTTCTACCTCATCCAAACAAACAATAAAATTATCCTTTTTGTGACTTCACTTGCTTTTTGACAAGGGCCATTTAGAAACGCTTTAGGTCTAAACAGACGACTCAGAAGTCAGATCCAGAAAACAGTGGGAGACACTGAGGTCACCCTCTAAACCCCTGCCATAGCTGTCTGCTAACATGTTTGTTAATAGGTTCAAATCTGTGAATTGAAATATGAGCAAACAGACACTGCTCAAGCTTTATTAATGTACTTTACTCGATGTCTTGGGTTTCTTGTATCTTTTGCATGTTTGTGAGACTTTGTACTGTCTATATAATATAGGAGAGAGGTGTTTGGATGCATGTGTAAATGTTTGCATTGTGGTGTGTTTGTTTGCTTGAGAGGAGATTATACGTGTGTTTATGTGTGATGTGAGATTATCTGCCTTTGAACATTAGAGTAGGATTACATGTGTGTTTGTGTCTCTGCTCGTGTGCTGCTTATTTGTACTGAGTGTAAAGTTTAAGGAGATGTTTTTGTGTAATGTATACATTGTTTAACAAATGCAAACGTATTGCACAAAATTATATAAAGACTCACAATCTTGGCCCGGTGGCCTGGGGTTGCGGTGATGTCCCATGTGCACTCCTTCCTGCTGGGGTATTTGTCAGGCCAGTTCGGACTGCTGATGGTTCCACTTGTGCTGTGAATCTTGTGCTCACACTCAGCTGATAAACAAGTATGGAGTGAAGAGGGTAAAGATCATTAGAAATAGTGATGCAGCACAATAATAACACGTGAGTGATACAGTTTAGATAAGTCACCAATGAGTACATCCAGGAAATTTTCACTTTTTTGTGTTTGCATTTACAAAGTATAACGTGTAACCATAAGTTTTTTTTATATATAAAAATAAATAAACTAGCTAGATTTATGATGTTAATAACTGTGGAAACATGTCATCACAATCTGTGAAAAAGATCCACTGAAGGTCAAAACACTTATGTCACAGATGCGTTTGTCCAAATGAAGAATAGCAAATCATACTTTGAACTTTGCCCTGATTGTGAGGTGTGCACATCACAGAAAGACCATTACAGAATGCTTAACCTTTAGTATGTTTACCTGAGACTCACCTTTCCAATAAGCTAGAGTAGATCTCTTTGACAAGAGACTAGCTTTCTTGAACGTATTCTCCCTCATCCTACCAGAAAATTTTCAAAATATTATTTTGGAATTTGTGGCCAAATGTGTGTTTGCAGGTGTGAGTACTGTATTTGTGTGTGTGTGTGTGTGTGTGTGTGTGTGTGTGTGTGCGCGCACAAGGACAAGTGATTACAGCTAGATCCATGCTGTGACCTGAGGAACCAGGTCAGACAAACATTTTCACCAAAACTCTGCTGAGTGTATATATGCATGTTAGAATGGGTGTGCAACTCTTTTGCTATAGTGTTATCTAATATGAATGACTGAGAACAATCTGACCTGCTGTTGCTTTCTCTGTCTCCACATACAAAAGAGACCAAAGTCTGAGACCACAAGTGAAAATGCTTGTATTTTGCATTACATATTATAAATTGTGAAAAGTTGAATTGATTAATGTACATGACTTTATTTGATTGAGCACTGTTTCTGCACTGTACTGATCGCACTTGTCTTTAAACAGTTTGTTTTTGTCACTCATATTAATGTAATTTATGCAATTTTAATTTATTTTCAATGAATTAATTATTTTTATAAACTTTTTACTGTATAGCTTTTTAATTTATGGACCTTTTATGATTTTATTTTTTTTAAGTAAAATTCCCTTGCCTTATGTTTTAATGACAGTACCACAAACTATATGAACGCTACAAGTTTGTGTTTAACCTGATGGTCATCTTATCCACCATGATTTGAGAATGTTCCAAGATCATGTGCTTTAATGGAAGCATTTGACCTTTTGTACAAAATAGTCCACATGGTCAATGACACAAATTTGGTTGATTAGTGGCCTAGATGTTCTGAACTCTAAATGATGTTTCTTGACTTTATATATCTTAACTTTATTTTATTTTATTAAAATTTTAAACTTTGTATTTGTTTCCAGGTTTAAATTTTTTTTTATCTGATTTTCAATGTGGTATCAGACTTTTGGACCCCACTGTATCATGTACTGTATTACCACTATCACAATACACACACACAAACACACATGAGCACTAAGTCTGGTTAAGCCTCTATTCTTCCCTCTCAAAATCAGGTCAGTGTGCATTAGTGAACAAAGATATTTTCAGTGTTCTGCCTCTGGTGTTCACACTCACACATGCACACGTTTCTTAGATACTATGGCTGCTTCAAATGCTATTGGCTTGTATGTGTTTGAATGTGAATACTTAAGGTGTCTTGAAGAGTTATTTGTGTGTGTTTTTAGGTCATATATCCTCTTAAGTGTGTTATATCAGCCCATTGGCTATCTGTGGTGCTCCCCCTCTCTGTAGTTTCATTGGACTAAACTTAAAGTCATTCATTTTACAGTACCATCATTAAAAGCACAATACACCAGACAGCTCTTGACTACTGATATTCTTGTGTAAATACACTAGTAACAATTCTACAGGCAACTAGTAAAACTGGTCTATTGTTACTACTGAGACTTTTAAGAGATACACATCTTGCACACACACACATGCACATGCACAAAGGAAAATGAAAACAGAAGCAGGATTAAGACTTTGAAGCTTTGTGAAACTCCAGATGTTTAAAATCAGAATCAGTGAGCTAGTCTTGAAGAGACAGTAAAGACTGAGTGAGCGAGTGAGTGTGTTGTGTGTGTGTGTATTCCAGGATGCCGCTGGTTTAACTTCTTGACCCTGACTCTGGAGCTTAAAGGGTAATATCTCTATCCTCCTCTCCTTAGGTCTAGCTGTTTTTCTTTTCAAAGAGAAACACACACACACACACACACACACACAGCTTTAAAGTTTCCAAAGCCCACAAAAATGTTAAAAGGCCCGCAGGGCAGAGCTGCACTGGAGGTTGACAGTGCTTGTATGAAAGGCAAGGTTTAGTGGGAGACACTGTTTAACTATAACAGACCATCTAAATGCTTCAACATGTGCGGAGATCTGGAGAACAACTGTTTTACAGTTTACTTTAACGCTTTAAGTTCAGTCACCTCATTAACTGTATTTATAATGCAGCTCTAACTATCAAGACCACAAACACAGTTTTATCATAAAATTATTAGATTAAATGTTTTTAAAAGTTTAGTCTGTTTTCATTTTATCTGACCTCACTTTGACTCTATAAACGGGGTTGTATTTTGCTTCTACGCCTTTAAGATCACTATGTAAACGGCCTCTTCGAATGTGAAATAATCAACTATGCTTTGTTGAGCACTGTAGGTTTGTTATCGGCTCCAATGTAGTTTTATTTATACAATAACTGCTCCATTCTTCATAACAATATTTCTTCAAAGCCTGCATTATATTGTCACATTGAAATGTTAAGGTCCGATTGAAATTGAATAAAACATACTATAGTTAAATCTTAATTGTAACTGAGATTTAAAAGCCAAAATAGAGACAAAAAGAGAAAACCTGCCAGAAGGCCAGCACAAAAATTACATTACTCTGCATCTTAAATGCTGAGAAGAAAGTTGCATTAGTTTTTTTGTTTTTTTTGCGCTGTTCCTCAGCAGAATGCAGTATAAATCAACATGCTTACACATGCTAGAAGCACCACCGCCAGATGACTACCCTCACTTATCCTTTTCTAGCCACTATATTCTTTTGAAAGTGCCTGTACATACCTTCCTTGCAGTCGTGTTTGTTCTCATGAAGAATAAAGCCATTGCGGCACTGGCACACATAGCTGCCAATAGTGTTAATACACTCATGCTGGCATCCACCGTTATCCTTTGAACATTCATCTTTATCTGTAACAAAAAGTGAAGAGAGCGATGAATTGTTAGTTCATCAGAAACAGAAGGAAGATATGAGATCCAACCAAATCCTTTGATTGAGACATTTCGAAATCTGGTTAAGAGATGTAACAATGTGCCCTTCACTGTAATGATAAATTCTGACATCTGGAGTCTGATTTTGTTATTTATTTTTCTATTAAGAGCAATTACAGTGAGTGATTGAGGTCCCATGCCTGTATCAGTTCATTAGCCAAAAGAAAAGGCAGAAAATCTTGAAAAGGACAGTGAGAAAAGACTAAAGATTCATAGGTAAATTTTTGTGTGTGTGTGTGTGTGTGTGTGTGTGTGTGTGTGTGTGTGCGCGCACAAGGACAAGTGATTACAGCTAGATCCATGCTGTGACCTGAGGAACCAGGTCAGACAAACATTTTCACCAAAACTCTGCTGAGTGTATATATGCATGTTAGAATGGGTGTGCAACTCTTTTGCTATAGTGTTATCTAATATGAATGACTGAGAACAATCTGACCTGCTGTTGCTTTCTCTGTCTCCACATACAAAAGAGACCAAAGTCTGAGACCACAAGTGAAAATGCTTGTATTTTGCATTACATATTATAAATTGTGAAAAGTTGAATTGATTAATGTACATGACTTTATTTGATTGAGCACTGTTTCTGCACTGTACTGATCGCACTTGTCTTTAAACAGTTTGTTTTTGTCACTCATATTAATGTAATTTATGCAATTTTAATTTATTTTCAATGAATTAATTATTTTTATAAACTTTTTACTGTATAGCTTTTTAATTTATGGACCTTTTATGATTTTATTTTTTTTAAGTAAAATTCCCTTGCCTTATGTTTTAATGACAGTACCACAAACTATATGAACGCTACAAGTTTGTGTTTAACCTGATGGTCATCTTATCCACCATGATTTGAGAATGTTCCAAGATCATGTGCTTTAATGGAAGCATTTGACCTTTTGTACAAAATAGTCCACATGGTCAATGACACAAATTTGGTTGATTAGTGGCCTAGATGTTCTGAACTCTAAATGATGTTTCTTGACTTTATATATCTTAACTTTATTTTATTTTATTAAAATTTTAAACTTTGTATTTGTTTCCAGGTTTAAATTTTTTTTTATCTGATTTTCAATGTGGTATCAGACTTTTGGACCCCACTGTATCATGTACTGTATTACCACTATCACAATACACACACACAAACACACATGAGCACTAAGTCTGGTTAAGCCTCTATTCTTCCCTCTCAAAATCAGGTCAGTGTGCATTAGTGAACAAAGATATTTTCAGTGTTCTGCCTCTGGTGTTCACACTCACACATGCACACGTTTCTTAGATACTATGGCTGCTTCAAATGCTATTGGCTTGTATGTGTTTGAATGTGAATACTTAAGGTGTCTTGAAGAGTTATTTGTGTGTGTTTTTAGGTCATATATCCTCTTAAGTGTGTTATATCAGCCCATTGGCTATCTGTGGTGCTCCCCCTCTCTGTAGTTTCATTGGACTAAACTTAAAGTCATTCATTTTACAGTACCATCATTAAAAGCACAATACACCAGACAGCTCTTGACTACTGATATTCTTGTGTAAATACACTAGTAACAATTCTACAGGCAACTAGTAAAACTGGTCTATTGTTACTACTGAGACTTTTAAGAGATACACATCTTGCACACACACACATGCACATGCACAAAGGAAAATGAAAACAGAAGCAGGATTAAGACTTTGAAGCTTTGTGAAACTCCAGATGTTTAAAATCAGAATCAGTGAGCTAGTCTTGAAGAGACAGTAAAGACTGAGTGAGCGAGTGAGTGTGTTGTGTGTGTGTGTATTCCAGGATGCCGCTGGTTTAACTTCTTGACCCTGACTCTGGAGCTTAAAGGGTAATATCTCTATCCTCCTCTCCTTAGGTCTAGCTGTTTTTCTTTTCAAAGAGAAACACACACACACACACACACACACACAGCTTTAAAGTTTCCAAAGCCCACAAAAATGTTAAAAGGCCCGCAGGGCAGAGCTGCACTGGAGGTTGACAGTGCTTGTATGAAAGGCAAGGTTTAGTGGGAGACACTGTTTAACTATAACAGACCATCTAAATGCTTCAACATGTGCGGAGATCTGGAGAACAACTGTTTTACAGTTTACTTTAACGCTTTAAGTTCAGTCACCTCATTAACTGTATTTATAATGCAGCTCTAACTATCAAGACCACAAACACAGTTTTATCATAAAATTATTAGATTAAATGTTTTTAAAAGTTTAGTCTGTTTTCATTTTATCTGACCTCACTTTGACTCTATAAACGGGGTTGTATTTTGCTTCTACGCCTTTAAGATCACTATGTAAACGGCCTCTTCGAATGTGAAATAATCAACTATGCTTTGTTGAGCACTGTAGGTTTGTTATCGGCTCCAATGTAGTTTTATTTATACAATAACTGCTCCATTCTTCATAACAATATTTCTTCAAAGCCTGCATTATATTGTCACATTGAAATGTTAAGGTCCGATTGAAATTGAATAAAACATACTATAGTTAAATCTTAATTGTAACTGAGATTTAAAAGCCAAAATAGAGACAAAAAGAGAAAACCTGCCAGAAGGCCAGCACAAAAATTACATTACTCTGCATCTTAAATGCTGAGAAGAAAGTTGCATTAGTTTTTTTGTTTTTTTTGCGCTGTTCCTCAGCAGAATGCAGTATAAATCAACATGCTTACACATGCTAGAAGCACCACCGCCAGATGACTACCCTCACTTATCCTTTTCTAGCCACTATATTCTTTTGAAAGTGCCTGTACATACCTTCCTTGCAGTCGTGTTTGTTCTCATGAAGAATAAAGCCATTGCGGCACTGGCACACATAGCTGCCAATAGTGTTAATACACTCATGCTGGCATCCACCGTTATCCTTTGAACATTCATCTTTATCTGTAACAAAAAGTGAAGAGAGCGATGAATTGTTAGTTCATCAGAAACAGAAGGAAGATATGAGATCCAACCAAATCCTTTGATTGAGACATTTCGAAATCTGGTTAAGAGATGTAACAATGTGCCCTTCACTGTAATGATAAATTCTGACATCTGGAGTCTGATTTTGTTATTTATTTTTCTATTAAGAGCAATTACAGTGAGTGATTGAGGTCCCATGCCTGTATCAGTTCATTAGCCAAAAGAAAAGGCAGAAAATCTTGAAAAGGACAGTGAGAAAAGACTAAAGATTCATAGGTAAATTTTTTATCTGTGATATTTCACCACAAAAACCTGCATCTTCTTCTGTAACCAGCCACAATCCATTTAACCACATGCTAACTGAACTGAAACAGAGCAATACGAAATTTAAATAAAGCCATTTTTCTAGCACACCTCCATTTTATGTAAATTAGGCTCATTATAGATGCATTTATTATAGATGTACCATTATCTGATTTGCATAATTCCTGCAGTTAATTGGGCACAAAAACAACACTCTTGCAAATAAACCAAGAAATCATTGGGCACAACTGTCTCCTTTTCCCCTTTTCCCCTTTTAAAACAAAGAAGGCAGGAGAAAATCATACTGTATGTTGTTGGGAAAGCGCTAAGTGATTAAGAAAAAGTGATAGAATATTTAGTCTGTGTGCTTGATAAGTGTAAATTAAATGTGTCACACAATGGCTGAAACTTCAGAAACAGTCAATGATTCCTTATGTTGGTGTTTTCCCATTGCGCATCTCTACGCCCCCAGTGTCCCATGAGTCAGAAGCCTCATGAAAGCTGTTATTTCCGTGGAAGTCTCAGGTTTAGCTAATTATCACACTTCAACCACTGCTCAAAACCACCAGCATATTTATCATACAAACCCAATGAATGGCAGACAGAGAGAGCTAAAGAGACTCAAGTTTTTGTGAGTCACCACACATTTTTCATAATTAATGCTGTTTTCAAAGCACGTCTTTAAACATTTCCCACTATGTAAGTGTGCAGATGATACAGTGAATAGCACCCTATTCTTATTTTTTTTAAAAGCTTGATATATAATGCTTGATAATAAAATGTCACAGCTGAGGAGATAAGAGGAATTAAGTGTGCCTCTTAAAAATCAACCCTACTCCAAAAAAATCGTTTTAAAAGTCCAGTGTATCAAAATCTTGCTTTCTTTACTGTGCATATAGAAGAACTGAATCAGCTCTTTCACTGTTTCCAGTTCAGCGCTCTCATTCGGCTCAGTACACACTCATACAGATTAGGAGTGTGTGGGAGAGCTCTGGGGACCTCCCTAAGTCTGCCGGCACTGGGCCAGCAAAAATCCAACCTCAGGGACTTCCAGACAATGAGAGTGACGCTATTATAACTCATTGAGAGTTGAGCTTATTCTTTCTCTCACCCAGATACAGCGTTACTCATTCACCATGTGTGTGTGCTAAATGTTCATTTGTGCATTTCATTTATGCATCCAGGAGATCCAAATATAAACAGATGAATCATAAAACTGCAGATCCTGCTTGTGCTTCAGCTTAAGCACGATAAGTTATGTGATTTTTCTATCAAAAAAACTAGCCATTAAGGAAAATGTTTGCGTCTTGTGCCTTCGGGTTTACAGTTATTAGATTAACTGGCATGTCTTTGAAATGTGGTGTTTTGGAGAGAGGCTGTGTGGTCATGAGGGCAAAAGGACCTTTATATTTAGAAAGTAATATTAATCCTACTATAATTCAAAATAATAAATAAAATGTTGCTATTCCCTTGTCGAAGAGATGATCTAGTTTTAATCACAATTGTGTTGTTGTTTATCTGGTTCATCTTCTGGAATCAGAAAATCTCTTTTTCTCTGTACCTTTGCCAACCAATTTGAGTCTTTTCATATCTTCTGGATCTCATGGGTGTGAGATTATTAAATAATAATAAAAACAGGGATTCACTGCACGGGGGAGGAAATGTTCACAACTGATGTGCTTGTTTCATGAAATTGACTGGACTATTTACTTCTGATCTATTATCAGATATTAAAAACATATTTATACACAAACTAATATATCTTTTTCTTTTCCTTTCTCTTGTAGATTCTATAGTGCTTATGAGTATTATGACATTATCATACTGTCATATGAATCTTCTATATATATATTACTTGTGTTTAGTTTATTACAGCTCTTTAGACAAAAAACTGAATCATGTTAAGTGTAGGATAAAAATGGTTGCAAATAATATTTAACCATTTGTAAGAAAGTTATTCAATCTTATTATCATGCAAGTTCAACAAATTGGACATTTGTTGCCACAGAGACAGAGCCCAGTTTCCAAGAAGATGAATGGATTCTTAAAGGCACCTCAGATGTGAGGGCAAATCCATTGCAAAAAATAAATCAGGGGAGAGAAGGCTGTACCTGAAACATGCCTTGACATGACCTGCTGGCCAATGAAATCTGGCACATCATTATCAACGTCCTGGCAGGACAAAAATATAAAGAGGCGCTCTTTGCAGTGAGCGAGCCTGTCTGTGGAAAAGAACGCCCTGATTCACACACATTTAAAGTTTCAGTGCACTTTTCATTTTACAAATTACACAGTCAACGAGTTTACAAACACTTCCAGATGTTATTTACCCCAATACATCTACATTTGACATTTACAAGTGACAATCACGCATCCAAACAGATTAAAATCATAACTGTGCTTAAATCCAGATTCCAGTGTTTGGATTAATGCTTTTGTACAGCCTGAACATTTCTAACCAAACCCACAGAACTTCTCATGATATAGTCGCGCGAGAAAGAGAGGGGGCATTTCACCTCGGTAAATGTTTGAAAAGCTTTCGAAATTTACATTATGAAATTCATATATACAAGCGAGCTTGGGTGGAGGTGTCAAAACATAGCTAAAGACGTCCAAATCTCCATTTCAAATGAATAGCGCTGACACGGTGGTCTTACCGGAGAAGAAATGAGCTTTGAAGCCTTTCTTGGAGACTGTGTTGTCGGATTTGAACTCAATTCGCATGTTGTTGTACTGGGAGGTGATAACCTCAGGAACCTCCGTACCGCAGTATTTCCCATGAAGCTTCGAGTCAGATGACAAACCGCTCCGCACTTCAACATAGTCATACTTGCACACCTGCACAAATAAAATATACAAATAACAGACTGATAAACATCAATCTTTCTGTCTGTCCGTTTGTGTATCTACCTACACAAACAATAACACACTCTCCCACACACAGTTGGAGATTCTCACCTCATTTCCCTCTAGTTCAAAGGTTTCAAACTGCATGGATATGCGGTACTGAGTGGGAGCCACCACTTGCCACACACAGTTCTTATTGGGAGGGTATTCCTTAGGCCAACCTGGGGTAGTAATTGTGCCGTTCAACTTAGTCAGCAAGCCACCACATGCAGCTGAAAGAGAAAAAGAATGAGAACCAGTGTTATTTTAGTATCACCGATGCTATTAAAGTTTTTATTCATATTTTGTATTAGATTTATTTTTATATTTTCTCTTTTCATTTTAATTTTTGTTACATTTTTTAGTAAATTTGTGTGTTTTTGTCATTTTATTAGTTTTTGTATTTTTGTGTTTTTATTTTAGTTAGGGTTTAATAATTTGTAATTACATTTTAGTTTTAGTTATTTTAGTACATCAAAATAAACTAAATGGAAATAAGAAATGATGCCTTGAAAACTAGCTTTTTTATGTTTTATTTTATTTTATTTTACTTCAGTTAAGATGTTTTATTTTAGGTAATGATTGATAAAAAAATTTTTATTATGATTTTCATTTTAGTTTACTATAATAACCCTTGTGAGAACAAAGTTTTAAAAACACAACTAATAAGCATTAAAATAAATAGACACTATAGCACAGTTTTTGATGGCTTTTGTGTTATATTTTAGCAAAACCACAACACATCGTACTTTATTACTGACAGAAACCATGTGGTTTCTGGGCAGAGTGAGTGTTGACTAAGTGCTGTTTGTTCTTGTTGTTTTCCTGTTGACTGCGGATGTTTTCCTGAACCAGTCAGTTTGGCTTGAGTATCCGCTGAGCATGTTTGAGTCAGGCAGACGGAAGCACCTGTGTGCAGTGTATTCACACACAAACATTCTCTTACCTTCACAGCTCTTCTTGTCAGGGGCCAGTTCGTATCCAGGATCACAGGCACATTTGAAGCTTCCTAATGTGTTAACACATCTCTGTTCGCAGCCCCCATTATCTGGCTTCAGACACTCGTCTTCCTCTGTTTTAATAACACGGACACAGAGTAACATCAGTTGAATAGACAAGAGCCAACTCATTAGCATCTGATAGCACTATTTTGTTACATGTGTGTGTACCTTTGAAGAAGTTTGCAGCAAAGCCTGCTTTATTAACCGTCCCATCAGAGACAAATTTCATCCAGAGGGTGTTAGAGGTGGAACGGATATCTTCAGGTTTATCATAGCCACAGAATCGACCAATCAGAGGGCTGTTCTCAGTTAGTCCATCTCTAACTTCTAGGTAGTCATATGCACAGCTGTCATGCCTCTCGATCTGCACAAACACAGGCACAATGCAGTATGTGTTAATGGCATTAGCATGTCAATGGCACCTTAGGTGTTAGTGCATAGGAAACAATCCGATAAAAACAGGATCTCAGGCGTCTCTGTGTATATTATATGCCAGGCTCTCAGGTCTGGTACATGTCCTGCTCTTTATAGACTGCATGCGTGCAAAAGAAAGTGTGAATATGTGTATGCAAAGGCAGAGAGTGTGTTTTCATTCCCTCTGAACAATTCGACACCTTTGACCTACTGACACACACAATGGTCTGCATACATACTTACGGCATGACTTGTAACAACATTCTGACGTTTTAAGGTAAATAATCAAACATGCCTGGAAAAACTCAACTTGACAAAGATGTGTGCCTATTTGTGCATGTATATCATAAATATTATGTTTAACTTTAAACAGCACACATGTAAATAGCAACAACTATCCTCAGAATGAAAAGACAAGGGAAAAGCAGAAAAAGGAAAGAGGCAGGCTAAAGTGAAAACAGAAATTAACTGGAAATTAATAAAGAGAATACAGCCAAAAAAGAGGAGACAACCTCACCTCAAAGACCTGAAAGCTCAAGCCCACGCTGTAGCCCTCAGACACTGTGATCCTCCACACACATTCCTTAGATGGACGGTAGTCATCTGGATAGTTTGGAGACTGAATCTGTCCAGAGTCCTTACTGATCTCCCCTCCACATATTGCTGCCAGACACATAGCAAAGAAAGAGAGAGAATTAGACTTTTACTCTGTCATCAGCAATATTTATGCTATTTTCAATGCGTGTCTAAAAACCATACTATTTATTAAAATCATATTTTAATATTATTTATAAAAACATATTGTACTGCTTATGCTGGTTTACACCCATCATAAATCAGAAAATTAAGAAGGATGAGTTTTTTGGATTCTGCAAAAAAGACCAGGTGTTATGGGTACTAACTCTCCCCACATGCCTACACTTGAATGCTGAGTGTGATTCATTGGCCAATTTTTTTCCCCTAAATTTCTTTGGACATCACAATAATTTTATCTTTTGTTATCTTTTGGGCACGATAAATGTGTAGTTAAAATCTGATATTGAGACAGTCCTAACACACACACCTTCATAGGCTGCTGCAAATCCCTTTCCAACCCAGTTGCTGCTACTGCGGAATTCAATCCACATCCGACTGTCGGTAGAGACCAACACTTCTGGAATTTTATCACCACAGAAGCGACCTGCACAGATACACACACACACACACACACAATAAATAATAGTGCCCCATAAGCATGCATTGCATTGGTAATACATATTATCACTTAATATATTCCATGAAGAAGGATGAGTTTTTTGGATTCTGCAAAAAAGACCAGGTGTTATGGGTACTAACTCTCCCCACATGCCTACACTTGAATGCTGAGTGTGATTCATTGGCCAATTTTTTCCCCCTAAATTTCTTTGGACATCACAATAATTTTATCTTTTGTTATCTTTTGGGCACGATAAATGTGTAGTTAAAATCTGATATTGAGACAGTCCTAACACACACACCTTCATAGGCTGCTGCAAATCCCTTTCCAACCCAGTTGCTGCTACTGCGGAATTCAATCCACATCCGACTGTCGGTAGAGACCAACACTTCTGGAATTTTATCACCACAGAAGCGACCTGCACAGATACACACACACACACACACACAATAAATAATAGTGCCCCATAAGCATGCATTGCATTGGTAATACATATTATCACTTAATATATTCCATATTATTCCTGATGAGTCCACCAGCATGCATGTACCCAGCAATGGCGCTTTCCTCCAGTATCCGTCACGAACCTCAATGTAGTCATACCAGCACAGGCTGCTCTTGTAGAGGTCCATAGTGGTGAAGTTTAACACTATCTGAAATGGGCAGCACACATGCAGCTGTCATATACATCAAACTTCACACATTAGATCAGCGTTTCTTTATCTACAACCTCGTAGTCAAGACAATTACAGGAAGAAATTGATTAAAAATTGCAGATACAGATAAATGTGGAACATTTCAATACAACTTAACACCCAGAAGTGTCTTACCTTCTCCCCAGGTGTGACGGAGATCCTCCATACACAGTGTGTATATGATGGGTATCCATTAGGATATCCTGGAGATGAGAAATTCCCCAGTGAGTCCTGCAGTGTTTCACCACATGCTGGATAGAGACCAACACAATAACATAATTAATGAGTGTAAGTGCAAAATTCCATTTATTATATATATAAAAAAAACTTGAATATGTAACTTTAATTAGATGTCAAGTTAGTAAACTCTTTAAAAGATTCAGTGTATGATTCGTTAGACTGATTCAAACTGATTACTTGTGAGTCTTTTGACCAATTCATTAAAAGTACCAACTAAATAGTCACTCGCTCAAGAATCAGACTACACTGGACGTGAAATATGTTAAATGTGTTAAAGACAACACAATAGAAAGATGTTCACAACTCAGCTAAAAATTCTTGTATCGTAGCGCTGTATAGTCAGCAGCGGCGGAGCGCCACCGCTAAATAGCAGTGCAGGAAACAGATACACACACACACACTGAAGTAACAAAGACCTATTGACTGTTCTAATGAGATCTCAGGAGCCAAACAGTGCAGGATAGGAGAGCAGATTCTCTGTTCAAGAGAAGCCAAATCATCTGCTAACATTTGCCAAATGTTCCTCCCAATTAGCGATGTAGCGGTTGGCCAAACATTTGTCTTAAAGGCCTCTGTTTTTCATCACAGCTCATTGGACAGTGATTGCGTATGGAGGTGCTTTTGGGTGTCAATTTCAAGGAAATATAAAGACGTAGTCAAGTCACACAACAATCCGATGCAGAGTTGTGCGGCAGATAAGCTGTTATCTTTGGCTTGGGTGGAGACAGTCACCCCTATTTCAGACTAAACTTTGACACAACCTGTATGTAACAGCAGAGACAGGAACTTTGGACTTACAACAGTAGTTTCCAAAACTTACACTGAAAATTATGTCATCATTTACTTTATTATTATTTACATAATTGATCATGCCACCCATGTCAATAAATATTTATTTTTTACCCAAAACATAAAAGATTTGGGCATAATGTCCAAGCTGCATTTTCCATACAAAGAACGTTAATGGTGATTTACACATTCATAACCAAAAATGTAACTTTTATAAATCTTTATGTCTTTCTTGGATCATTTTTCCTCCACCTACGTTGAAGGGAAAAAATACCTTTTTTTGTGCTTCACAAAAAATGTCTGGAAAGGCTGGGTACCCTACTCCTTTTTGGCAAACTGTCTAATAAAAGTGGGGTTTCAGTCTACAAATTTTGTCACAGACAGTGAATATTGTGGAAGAGAGAGAGCTTTGTCTTTGTATGTGAAGTAGGCCATGCGTCACGCATTTACACACACACCCTCACTAGTAGTGCATAAACTCAAAACAATACAGCAGTAAAATAACACACTTATATGCCACTCACATGGACACACACATGCACAGGCAGTAGAGCGAGAGGGTCTTATCATGCTCTTTGTCCCTAAAATGTCAGGGTGGCCCTCTTTTCTCACCAACATGGAAAGAACATGCCAACTACACAAAGGAAGGTCTTCTAGCTTAGCTGGGACTTAAACCAGGGATCTTCTTGCGGTAAGGTGACAGTGCTACCCACTGAGCCACTGTAAGAAGCTCATGTGCATCATAAAACTGAGAAAAACAAATGATCTCATGCAAGCTGACACTATATTGGCTAGAAACAATTATCTGCACATAAAGTGAGGTCATCTTCCTGCAGTTAACACCCTTGGTTTCCTTCATTTAAATTTCACCCTCTCTCTCATACACACTCACACACAATGTAGTCCTACCTGGACATCTGTATAGCTTCTTGGCTTGGGATATATCTCCTTTGCTGAGTCTAGTTCTCTGACCGATAGCAGGCCTGACACCATTCTCATCACGAGAGGGAAGAATCGTGTCCAAAAACATTCCTCTACAGAAGAGAAAGACAAAAAGGAGAACATATATACAGTATTTGAATAGAAAGTTCTGAATTAAATTAATGGGTGTGAAATTCCTAGTGTGTGACAGAAGTCTTACCTGGAGAAAGTGTTTCTGGCATAATGCATGATGCTGTCAAAATCATACGGCTCACCAAGAGAGTTGACATCCCCTGGTTCCATCTTAATGAAGTTATACTCCTGACCTAAGTGTGCACAGATACACTCATATTAAAACAGATAGGCTACCTTTACAAAGCCAGCATTTAGAATTTATTTACTAACAGGTGTGACTGTCGAATTGTCCTGTTCATACAACAGCAGCTCATATATTGTCTGCATGAAGAAATAACTGGAGTCAAGTCTTTTCTATTCTTGTGATAGCCATGAATAATGCCTGTAACCACTGCACCAATAACTTAAGTACCAAAGGTGGTAATTTCAATAACACAGAAAATTCTTAATATAACTGAGACCATTTTAGTTAAACAGTAGTACAAAGCTCAAATATTGTCATCAAAAATAATAAAAAAGTACTTTTAATTGGAGGAGAAAATGATGAGTGAATATTAAAAATATCTCCAACTTTATCATTTCCGTCTTTTCTTAAGTCATGAAAATTTAGGGAAATCATTTTGCTTATTGGTTATCAATGTTGTTTATTTAAAAAAAAATGCTGTGAAAAAATGTTTGTTAAAATGCTGTATTTATGAACCAAGACTGAATCCATATTCTGCAGCTGTGTAAATGCAGTCATATTGAACCAGCAGTTACCTGGTAGGGTGCAAAGACTTGAGTCATGGGTCATGTAGTACCTGGCTGGATGTTGTCCCGAATGATGGTCACATGATCGTCACGGTCAGGTCGTGTGTGCTCGTGCCAAAAGCCAATTACATGTCCAAGTTCGTGAACGACAATGCCAAACTTGTCACAGTTCTTCCCAATGGATATTGCCTGGGGACCATTACCCCGACGGCCGACATAAGAGCAACACCTTGAGAACCAATAAATAAAACGTTAAAAGTCTGTAATTACTGAAATGTCAGCATCTTGTTGGCTCACCCCACTCTTGAACAACTCAGATTCTGATAATGTCACAGAAGTGTCAATGTTTGTAATGAGGGGGGTGATGGGAGGTGAGCTGAACTAATGCTTAGTTGTTTGGGGTAACGTAGTTTAGTGTGGGTTGAACAGGGGATAGTGTGAAATGATGAGAGCTGATTAACGGTAATTAGGGTGACTTGGGGTTAGCTTTCAGATTCTTGCTGTGTTTTTTCCTTAATGACAAATAAGCACACAATGTTCACCTCTGACTGAGTGCCAGTGCAATGAATCACAGGAGAGACAAAGAGGAAAGAGAAAGAAACTGGTGAGTCCCAAAATAAGTGCCAAAAGACAGTCTAAAGCAGTGGTTTTGCTTAAGAATGCAGATTTTAAGTTGGGAATCAAGTGGCCACTTCCATATAAAAATTGTTAATTTTCTTTCCCTTGCTGTCCATGACCCTCATAACAGACCTGTGACCCATTTGTAGGTTTCGTGACTCACCAGTTAAGAACCACTTGTCTAAAGTATTGATGCAATATTGTGAGAAAAATAATTACAATATATGGATAATCGATTGTGCCGGCAAAGTGCTATTCAAGTTGCTCTGTATTGTGTGTGTTGCATTAAGCAGGTGAGAATATTTGGCACATTAAGGTGAATTGTTTCACTAGCTGGTGTTTGTACAAGCCCGCAAATCCGATTATTATTAACAGAAATATTGCCAGCAGCCTCACAAATCTCACAAAGTTTGTGCTCTGGTCAGCTATGTTTCCATATGCAGATCAGTTACTGTATTTGATGTGCTGTTCATTTTGATTCTCTCAATTGTTTTCTGAATAACAATAGCATGTTGCCACTTACGCTATATGGAATTAAATGTTTAGTGTTTCAGTGTGCAGTGTGCAGTGGTTGAGGATTTTGTGATTTCAGAGATTTACATTGCCCCAAAGGTCCTGTTTCCAACTGATATTAAGATGCATTTTTGTGATTTGATTACAAGCAGTCAGTGCTTAAGGTGCAGGGAGGGTGGGGCCTTGGTGAAATCCGAACATAGTCTTAATACAAGGTGGAAACAGGGCCAAAGTAAGGTCAAACCTGTGAAGTCAGAGTTCGAGGAATTCAGATGGAATCTCTATAGGCCATGTCTCAGACACTCAAACACACCCACAAACAAAGCAGTAATCTCGATTCCACTCGCTCACTATTTATAACTTGGATTAGAACACCTTAATCCCTCATTTCATAGACATTGATAGTGTGCAGTAGACACACATGAACACAGAGAGATATTCAAACAAATAAAAGGAAACACTCAAAATAAAACACATTCTCCAATCTACATCATAAAAGAGAGAATAATATTTAGCCAAAACAAACATGCATCTATTTTATGTAATGCTGCTTTGGAACCATTTGTATTGTAAAATGAATAACTTCCGTTGAGTTGAACTGAAATTAATTGACCTTTTTAACTAGTGACAGTGACTAGTGACATTTGTGCAAAAGAAATAGACATCAAGCCTGTCAACACTTTCTCATAATACAAACATACACACATGGGCCCACGCTATGTGCCAAATGCTTAAAAAGCACATAGAGTCGAGTAGAAGGTTAACACTCAGTGCTTGTGTTGGTCTGTCAGCAGGTTTATATCTGAATGACGTCTGCTGATTATAACAGATATGACCACACTGAGATGGATAATATTATGTAATGCTCTCGCAACCTCTCTCCCCTCCACTCTAATCTAGCCTTGTCCTTCTGTCAATGGTCATTCTGCCTATTTCTCTGTAATCTGTCTGGAACTGCCTCATTATTTCACCTCACCTTCCATCAGCATCATTCCCACAGAGATATTTAACATCCTCAGTTTCCTTTTCATTCCAGTTTCCATAACATTCATAGACTGATAACACTTCTATTAGTGGTTATAAACCTTCTTATCAGGTGTTGTGTAATATTAAACAATGCTATATGTGATCAAATAATCAATTAAAAGCCAAGTTTTCAGATACGAACAATCGCCAACAATGTTTATCTAGACTTATGCGATTTCCGTCTTCCCTTCTCCCTCTCTCTCTTCCTTGTTAACACACTGTTAGGATTCCATTCCTAAGAACAATGGGTGGTTTGCTCACCGTGGTAACAGGGAAGGAAGGAAAGCCAGGCCGACTGTAGTCGTCTCAGTCGACTCTCGCTCCCTCGCTCTCGCAAACACACACATACCTTTGTTTTAAATACACTTTACAGGATACACTCATAACAATGAGAGCTGAGTATCTGAGTGTGTTCCTTAATGACCACAGCGTTTCATTCAACCTTTCTTACACCCAGTACATGCAAAAACTAATAGAGCCCAGAGGTAAAGAATCTCTAATGTAGATAGTACCCCAACAAAGTGCTTTATACCCCAGCAAAGTGGAACTGGTAGCCAACCTTGAAGTGTTTCATGCATTTTAAATGAAACATGCAGCGAATAATCATTCACAATAAGATTTATAATATGCATTTAGAAAACAGATGGGATGAATTTTCATTTCATGCTGACTTCATTTCAATTACTCCATTTTCAAATATCGTAAATGTGAACTGATTCATTATAACTTCTGATCAATAAACCAAATGTAGATAGTGGAGTCAAGAAGATACTAAGTTAAATTACTTGGGATGTAAACACCAATGCCAACATTAAGCACCATTACGGAGTAGCTTGGTGTCAGAAGCACAAGTGTTGTGATGGATGGCCTCAGTATCAATGTGTGCATTACTATTTTAAAATGTTATATAATTATAGAGAACACACAAACACAAACCCGCAGGGTCTGTAGGTGAAGACGATGTAGCTCTCCTCATCAGTTTTCTCGATGAAGGTCACACATGTCTGTTTCTCCCAGTGTCTCATTGCTTGCTTTAACATGGCCCTCTGACTTCCTGAAAAACACATACAGAAATCATTGTGTAAATCACATACATTCATATACTGATATTAAGCACAGACACTCAGGTCCCCTTACCGGTGAAGTTGCCTCCTATGACGTAAGGGATGACACCTCCGGGCCAGATCTTCTCAGCTCGGGATGTGGCAGCACGTGGCACTCGAGACTTCACACCTCTGCCGCTGTTTACACTCTTCCCTCCAGCTTTGGAGCTCGACACATCTTTACTGCTGTTCACCGGCCACGACTCTACACCACAGACAGAGCCTTTTTTAGAGCCTTTTTGAGAGTTTATTCTCTAATAGTTAAATATACATATGCACAAGCTCTTACTGCAATAAAATGAATCCTGCCAACACATGACAGCACTATTGTTATGATTCCAGTGCAATAAAAATCACCAATTGTGATATTTATTTATTAGATATTTTAGGGCTGTCGCGATTTGTCGATTCTATTTGACCAATCCTGATTTTAAAAAATTCTCGACTTAATTTTGGAATGAGTTGCCCCTGCCGATCAGGTCTGCCAAATCACTGTCAATTTTTAAGAATCTGTTGAAAGCACATCTAATGTTGGTAGCATACAAAGATTGAGGTGGTATTTTATATGCCGATGTGGTGTTTTATGATGTCGATGTTTGTTTTTATTCTTGTACTTTTTATGTAAAGCACTTTGGTTCAACCTCGGTTGTGTTTTAAATGGTGCTATATAAATAAAGAAACAAGAACAACAAGAATTTTGCCTGCGTCGGCTAACCGACAAAATACCGGAAGTGGTGCATATCACAGACGAGAATCCATAAAACACATTATTAGACTGTTTTCCAAGGCCTCATGATATATTAAACCCGTTTAAAATTCATAATTAAGCATAACTGTGAATTCACAAATGCTACGATTTAATTAAATAATTTTAACAGTTATAGGATTGTGTAGGTTATGTACGTGCGTCTCATAGCGGCTCCATTCACAGTAATGTGTGGAGCGGCTCAAACTCCATCTCTGCATGTTGTTGTGAGTTTGGGTTTATTATAACGTTCATCTGGGAATGAAACGTGTGCCATTTCATCAGATTTGTAAGGTAAATCATTTATAAATCCACGCAAACACAGGAGAATACATCATTATCTCGTGGTTTCAAAATAAAAGCTCAAACCCTCACTGAGTTTACATGTTTTGATGTCCATATATTCATTAAATTACAGTGACTATAGCATTTCTGTCGTAAAGAAATGGACAAATATTAAAGATTAAGTGGACATCTGAATTAAATGATGCTTGGTCAATATTAAACAAGTATTAGATTGCACAGTAATGTGTAAAAACAATCGCCAGGACGTTGGCGCCCCCTGCAGGCCTTTGTTGTAATGCATACTGTACATTAGCTCTATTCACTGATCTATAATAGAGATTATATTATATTATTTTATAATTATATATAGATCAGGGGCTCTATTACATTATAATACAGTATTTTAACAGTTTTGTTCAATGAAATCATATGATTTCTTGCTTTAGATACTTTATTTGAACTAATTATTATTGCCTCATTGCTATTCTATATGTATTTTAAGTAAATTTAAAGGCTATTGTTCACTTAGCCTACATCTATTTTTATTACCACAAAAATGTATTATTAATTATAATATTTTATTAGTAGTAGGCCAGAACATGTGGACATGTCATTCTTACACTATAATACTAAACTTTGGTTTCAGTGATTTGGACTATGAGATGGACACTTGCTTTTTGCACTCTCTTTACTTTACTTTACTTTACTTTTGCTTTAAAAAAGGATTTCATAGAAATTTGGATTTCATTTGGAGTTTCACTACTGAAGTCCTCTGTTATTTTTTTTTCATCATGCTGGAGATGTCTGTTTAAATCTGTTGTTTACACATTTCTAATAGTACCTTCAATATTTAAATTTTTTAATAATACATTTTAATAATAAAATGTTAATACTTGATTCTAGTGGACTCTCAACATTGCATTTATTTAATGTGAAAACCCAACTGTTGGGGTTAATTGAAACAGATTTTTTTTTCCCTTTGTAGTTGCACTCACAGCTGTAATTAACAGAAGCCCAGAGCATGTGGATATATTGACATTAAGAACATGCTGACTTTCTCAGACTTTTGTAATTATTTTCTTTTTATTTCATTTTTTTTTTAGGTTTGTTTACATTTTTACTCTTTTAGTTTTACATTTTGTCAATGGCTTGTTTACATTTATACTTTTTTATGGTACACTGCTGAATGGCAAAGTTGCAAGTTTAATAAAATTTTCTTTAAAATTGTTGATTTTTTTTGTGGGAAATTAATTGTTTAGATTAATC